ACAAATTTGCTTAAGAGGTTGGAACAGGTTATTTAAGCAAAAAAAAAAGGTTTATATAGAAAAACTGAAAATTTTGATATTAGTACATAGAAAACTTTTTTTTATTAAAATAACTCTTCTTTACTCTTTAACTGGGATTATTCAGAATATAATTTTATATATAATTCTTACTTTAAATCTGCTAAATTTTTTCTTTTGACAAATTTACATTTTTAAATTGTATCAAAAATTGCAATATTTTTATTCAGTTTAAAACATATTTTTTTCACTTTTTCTTAATGTATTTATTCGTAAAATTTAATTTAAAGTTAATATATAAACGAAGAAACATTATTACAACAAAGTTTATATTAATCACATGATTTGTTATATCTAAAATTTTCTAATATGATTTTCGAATATTACACAAATCAAACCAGTTATATTTTTAAAGATTTTGACTAAAACTTTAATCATAATATATAATATTCCCTAAGCCAAATTTATAGCTAAGCTTTTTACAAATCTAACGGTATAAAAAATATAAAAAACTACCATTTTCTTGTAAAATATGATAGCTTTGAAAATGGGTAATTATTTTGTCTTTGCTGCTTGATAGTTTCTTCTGTTCAAAAATTTTTGGCTTGAAAAGTAGATCTGATGATGCGTCAGAGTAAAAGCTTTCAAAAATGATTAAGTTTGAAAGGGTAGTATATTATAAACAAGAAGAGAAAAGATAAGAAACATGTTTTCTATTATATAGATTGTTTTATTTATTATTGTAATTTCAGGCTTTTTATAACTATTCTAATATTTTTTAACCAGTTCTTTCATATGTTATAAAAACCAAGAAAGAAATTAACTTCGTATGGTCTTATTATAGTTCAAAGTCTATAGTAGATTTACTATTTGGAAGATCTTACATATACGTAGTATATAAGGTGTAAGAAATCTAAAACTTATAGAGACAAGTATATACATATAAACAAGTAATTCCTAAATTGTTAATATCAATAAAGTGCGTACAATACTTTATAGAAGTTGGTAATTTAAGAAATATTTGTTTTTAATATACTACTTGATTATGATGAAGCAGACTATCTTTTTAGAGTTAATATAACTAAGTAGCATATTTGAAATCAAGTGTTTCTTAAATTATCAATTTCAATAAAGTATTTATGTACATACTTTATTGATTCTAATAATTTAGAAAATAATTTGTTTATCTTGTCTCTATAAGGAGATTGTGGTTTTTAGATTTCTTGTACTGTATATACTTTTATAGTGATCTTTGCAATTGAATCATAAAGTGGAGTAATTGTTTAATTATTATATTTTTTTATATTTTATTCAAGTTTTACTTAATTATTTTTAAAAAAATAGCTAAAATAGAAAAGTGCAATAGCATATTACAAAGAGATTTCTAAAATTTACAATAAAGTAATATTATTTATAGATGTTGAAATAATATTGTCTTCAATAAGTACAATCAGTTTAAGATCTAACTGGAACTAAAAGTAGAAAAATGAAGATAATATTATTTAGAATCTCTGTAAATTACTATAATATTGTAATAATACTGAATTACATATACCTTCTTTGATTTTTTATATCGGTAGTACTATCACTATCAAACTCGAGTTGATGTTCAATATTTAGATAGTTTTGATGACTGTTCCACTTCCACTAACTGTTTCACTAATCCATTAACAATTTCCAGAGACAATAAGGAAGTATTTTTATAATCTTTAAGCTGTTTCAAGATTTGCTCTTTAGCATCTGTTGTTTTATACTGCTTATTTTTTTTTGAAGATGTTTGAAATGTAGATATTTCTTTGGTTTCAGGTTCTTCAATCTCTATATTTTGTGTTTCTGGAACTTGAATAAGGATATTGCTTACATCTTTTTTTTTTTTAATAATTTCATAGATTTAAGATCCTATTTACTTTGCCATTTTTTGATCTGGTAGCAATATGGGTAGTTATTATTTCGACTCCTAACTGATAATATCCAAATATCTGTTAGTAACCATCATTAGTCAACTGTGTAGTTTCTTTAAATAAAGTATATGTTTCTAACTGCAGGTTGCTAAATCTTAATTTAAGCTGATAAATTAGTTCTCAAAGGGTTTCTTTACGATCTTTAATAGACTATGGATTTTTGTTTATTAATAAATTTTCAGAAAATTCTGAAATTAACAAGTCAAGCCTTTTATATTCTGATTGTACTACTTTGATATTTTGTATTAGATTATCAGAATCAGTTGCCTGTCTGATCATATTTTGCTTTACAAACTTTACGCCAAAGGTTTCTAGAGCCTTGTCATAAGCAAAATAATAGCTTTCTTGCATTAAATTGATTGAAAGAACTGCTTGAAGATTTTGAAAAAGTTGAGACTATTTTAAATGTCTAACAAAAATCGTGCTACTGACTCAGCATATCTATATTTTCTTGTTCTAGAGAATAAAGAAGCAAACGCTATCAAGCTGTGAATCTGCAAATCAGAGTTTGCTATGTGGATTTCAAGCTTATATAATTTCAAGTACCCAGCTCATCAGTAAAAATTATACTATACTTTTAATAATTTATTATTTTCGTTAGGAATATCATTAACAAAAATTTTATTTTTTTCAGCATAGATATGAATTGTAGTCTCAATAGCTATCCAAATAAGTTCGAGTACTTGAAATACTGCTCAGTAGTCAGCAATTTGCACAAATCTGTCAAAAAACTTTACTTCAAGCTTTGTAGCAAACCCAAAAAGTTTATACCCTGAAAAAGCAGAAATAAGAGTATTACACATTGCTTTGTTTGTATGCCACTATTCCAAAATACAATATACTGTTTACTCTTCATTCTTGTAGTCTTTCATCACAAACTAAATTTAATATACTGTTCTCAGTATACACGAAGTCTTCTAAAACATGTCAACTATGTGATTAACATGTTTATTTTCGCTTGGAGCTTCATCTGGTTGGAGAATCATAATATTTAGATGAGCTACGAATAATGCTAGATAATATGTTTTCTAATAGTTGCATCAATGTCTTCGACACCAAATAATAGTTTTTCATTAATTAGCTAGACAAAGATAGCATCTAACTTTTTTTCTCATTCTTCTATAATAGGACTTATACCAAAGAGCTTCTGATTTCCTAATAGCTTATTTAAATTGGCAAGTTTGCTATTAACAACTTACAAACACCTTATACAACTAAACAAATTCAACTCAAAAACTGGGACATAATTCACTATATTAATTATCTTAAAAAATCAAAAA